TAAAATTAAGTAATTATGAGTATTTCTAGGGGTCCTTAATCGATTGCAGGGGTGACAGGCTGTAATGATTGGGATCCCCTGCTCTAATGAACCAATAAGGAGGAGAGAAAATAACATCCACATCTTAAAACAATGCTTAAGGCTTGAATAAGGGCATCTGAAAGAGACATAGCTATTTAAAATCAGAAATTTTTTTTTAATCTGATGTGCTACAAAAAAAATAAAAACAGAATATTTTTTTTTTATACCTCTTGTTAAGTGGTGGTAATTTTATCTCTTATCCAGCTATTTAATCTTTGAACCGTGTAGTACAGCGATGGCTTATCAAAAAGAGCTAATAAAGAAAAGAGATGCTGAGATACAGAACAGGTCCTCAGGCAGACAAGAATTGGGACTGTTACGTAGCGCATAACTGCTGACAAAAAATCTCATATGAAAAAAGCGGCTGCAGAGAAGCTACTAAACTGTGCCTCAAACTGGAATCACAAAAAAAAGGACTGTGAAACGACTCAATTTGTCTCTTGTTTCTTCACATATTCCTGTAATTTGTTGATTGGCTTTCTGGAGTTTTGAGCAGGTTTTATGATCTGAAACTTCTCTTTAGTCCCTGAATGTCTTTTCACCCCCCCTATAAGCCACAATTATGGCCTATCTGCTTTTGGTTTAAATGGCATAACAAGCTGCAGAAGAATGATGCCCTGGCAGAGCATTATCTAGATGTAACTGTCAAAAAAATTTGGCTTCTGGGTTTACACTCCATGCTGTTAGACATTTCATTTCAGGGGAGTGGCAGCCTAGGGGTTAGGGCATAGAGATTTAAATCCTGAGGTTCTGAGTTTGAGCCCCGTTCCCACAGACTGCCACTATGGGTCTCGGAGCAAGATCCTTTACCCGACACTGCTCCCCCGGTGCCCACGATGGCAACCCTCTGCTCCCTAAGGGGATGGGTTAAATAGAGGGGTAAATTTATCCTAATGTTAGCTTAATTATTATTATTTTAGTTGAACATTGGCTCATGGTGAGCTGTTTGCTGATATCAGTTCTTGTAGCTTCCTTAAAAAACGGAAACTGGGAGCAGGTGGAAAGTCGGAACACATCCCTCCTCTAAGTGTGTACAATGCTCACATCACAAAAGGTATAAGTAAATAGGAAACCTGCTGTTCTGGCACATGCACAATCTTTGTTTCCCTGGTTCACTACAGAAGCACTTATAGGAAGTTAGTTTAGTTATTTTAAAAGCTGAAGCATGCCAGAGAGAGGGGCTTGGACTTTGGACTGTGTGCTTGTTATGTTAATCTCTAAAATCTGCAGCACCAATTCTTTGACTTTTTGTCTTACTTGTTAAATTAAAGTGTTAAAATCTCTATTCTCATGTGATTCTTATATTGTTTTAATGTGAATCGGCCACGTCAAAGTTTAAGTGAATGAAGGATGTAAAAACTATTATATATACAAAAGTATATGTAATAGCATACAACACATATACCTCTGCAGACAGACGGACAGATAGACAGAAATTGGATATACTGTGCATTAAATCTATTTAGAGTTCTAAACTTCAATGTAATCAGCTGAGACTTAAATGGGTGATAGGCTTTCCATTTTACTCTTAACTGTTATTTATTGTTTCAACTGGGTAGAACATAAAAGAAATATTCAAACTGTAGTTATAAAAAGGTTTTAGGAACCCACATAAAGATTGACAAGAAAGATCAACCACTGAAGCACGGATGGTAACTCTGCAGTTAGACGGTAGTTACCCTGCAAATTATAGGCAAATTGAAGAGCAAGCTGTCTTTTATTCATCAGTATTTGAGTTGAACTCTTTTCTTCTCTGTGTTGGTAAGAAATGTTGACTCGTTGTGTGACTTTGTGTGTGTCATTTAGGTCGTTAGGTTCGCATTAACGCTCCTTCCTCTCCTCCAGATCTCCATGCATCTTCTCGACTGAACCGGCAACTTCCCTGACTCAATTATGGCTTCATTGAGAGCGCCTGTCCATCATGTCTTGATCCGATTATCTTGTCAGGCTGCTCATTCACTCACATCATTATATCACAGTGGAAAAACCTATGGAATTGCAGTTGCTTTTATTGGCCCGCTCCACAGACTTTAGACTACCAGTATACTCATGTTATGCAACATGTACATACCGTAAATTCTCTAATATAGGCCCGGGCCTTTATTTCACTCAAGTGCATCGCGGTCCAGGCCTTTATTGGAAAGAGGCCAGAATTAGAGACAGGCCTCTATTGCTATTTGAGCAAAACAGACTACCAGTGGAATGAATAAAAATGAGATTTTGTGTCTATTGAACCTATAAAACACTAGGTTCACTACTACTTGATAAAAATAATAACATCACTACTGGAAACTTACTTGATAAATAAAGCAGCGACGCTACGGTCAAGCTACTGGAAAATGTAGTTAAACTAATAGCTTCGCTACATGTAGCGCCGCTACTGCCCATCACTGTATACCAGTTATTAAATAAACGCTTGTCAGCAGATTGATGAATATGTTTAAATATCAAATTTTATATTTATTTGTAGGTTTGTAATTTATTTGTTTGTAACTTTAGTCATTTGAATTGAATAGTTAAATGTGTACAAACCCTGTAAATAACTGACTTAAATCACTACTTTCACTATCACTAATGTTGTGTTGAGAAGCCAAACTGTTGAGAAATAAATCATTTTTTGTCTAAATTGTTACCCACTTACTGCCTGATTTTATTTGCAATTATATATATAAAAAAACATAATACAGGTAAAAAATCTAAATATAAAAAGGAAAAAATAAGTTAAATAGTGGATCTAAATCAAGTACAATTTATATTCTAATAAATCATGTAATAAAGATAATGAAAAAAAGATAGATGACTGAATAAAAGTAAATGTTTTTGTCTATTTTTTTCTACAGGTCATAACGGCATTAGCTGTCCTGCACAACATCTTCCTGGGAGCCGGTAACATCACGGCGCCAGAGGATGAGGAGGGGGAGAACGTGTTGAAAGCAGTCAGTGGTGCTCCATGGAGGGACCAGCTGTCTGCCCTGGAGGAGGGTCTACCCGACCACTTTTACATTTAGATGGCAAGTAGAATCACATTTCAGCTGTTCTTATTTCAGGGTTATGAAAACAGTTTTAGTAAAGTCATTATTTTCTCCGTCTTTTTAAACTTTTTTAGTAACATGGCAGCCGTCGATTGGGTCAGCCCTGCAAACCCTGATGGACGTTGTGGTGAACAGTGGAGAGAACCCCGAGCCCCCAGATGATGTCCCACTCGCAGTCAGAAGACTCCAAGCTCATCTGTGTGCTGCTCAGCCTCTGCAGCATCTAGCTCTGGTGTGTCCTCAGGGATGGAGGCAATTAGGACAGGTGGGGCAAAAGACGGCCTCTGTCCTAATACCTCATCCATGAGGACAAACCAGGGCCAGGTGACAGCAGTGGGCTTCCCTGTCCCTGGATCTTTGCATTTCTAAAGTAGAGGAAAACAATTTAAATGCTATTTTCTGTAGTGTTTCTTTAAAGCTAGAAAAAAGGAATGTTTGATGATTTGGATGGATTGATGAAATTCTACAGAAAAAGACTTTGGAATGGTAACCTGGAGATTACTTTTTCAAGCTTACTCAAAGTGTAAATTAACATGAAAATAATAAATGAAAGATGTTATTTCCCTAAACACACATACATATACATACATACATACACTCCGAAGTAGGCAGCCTCACTAGCATTATACGGCATCCAAGATTCCCACGGTCCCTGAACTAATCATTGTCATATCCTCGCCAGACTTCCTAGTTCCTGCTCACCCGTTCTTTTGAGTTCCAGATTACCCCCCTTCTACCTTTTTCTCATTAAACCAGTTAAACCTTTGCCTTGCTCTCTGAGTGGTTCTCTGCATCTTTGGGTCAGACCTTTAAACACATCATGATACTATTGCAACAGTTTTATATTGCAAGTTTGACCCTCCTAAAAGTTAAAAAACAGCAGTCGATTTTCTTTATGTTTTTCATTTTTGTGATTTTGGTGGGGCCAGTTAACATGTTCAAGTATTTATTTTGTCCCAACAGAAATTCCTACTGGAGCACCTCAATTGTGCTTTTAGTTGGAAAAGCTTAGCTTGAAAAGTCAAGTTTACCAAGCTTGAGTAAGCAAACCTAGCATGTTTATGCTTTGTTTTCATATGACTTGTTGATGATTTGTCACACAAACACAATTAAATGCCATTCCAGTTAATCGTGTGGACAAAACTTGGTGAACTACCTAGTTTTAAATGTTGTAAAAGCTGTCTCTGCAGCTCTCCAGCCTCCGCTAACGGTAGCAAGCAGGCTTAAAGTGAAATGCAACATTTCCACAAATATAAGGTAGTTTTTGTCAATTCTGCTGGCTAGAAACAGAGTAATCTGGAGCTGGAGTGCTACTGTATTTAATCAGCAATGAGGTCCATCCCTTTAAGCACATTCCAAGTCGGATGCAAATCATGGACCAAGCCCGCGTTTTTCTGGTTTGTTGGAGTTTTGTTTTTTTTAATGCTTTTGCTATGCGATAAGTCTTTTGAATCAAAGGGTTATTACATATGCCATGTACAACGAAAAAATCTGAACTTAAAATTGACTTGATACCACAGCTCATAGCAAAGCATCCCTATTTGGAATCGCAGTCATCCTCTATATTATTTATTTAATATTTTAAAACAAGGAATCAAGAAAAATATGTACAGTATCAAAGGATCTGAGGCAAGACAGAAAAACATCTGATGTCATTGTGCCTGGAGATTTTTTTTCTAGGTTTTGTCTGCAACTTTCAAGCATTCCAAGATCTTACCAATAAACTTGGTCTGCCTGGGAGTTTTTACAAGTAACAAGGAGAGAAATAGTGTTGTTTGTGTGGGGCCCCAAGGACGAACAAAGGCCCACTCTCAATCCGTCCATTTCACAGAATTTACGTTAGAAACGAGCTGCAGCATGCGTGTGTCTGTGTGTTTATTAGCGTACTTGTTGCGGCAGTAGAGGGCCATGCACAGCGTTCCCAGAAGACTGATTGCCATGGTGATGGATGTGATTGACAGCACCTGTCTCTTGTACACAGCTTTGCTCTCTGTGGAGAAACCAAACAGAAAAAGACACCATATTAATGTTTGAACAGCACACGCCTGGGAAATAAAGCCGTAGATGTTATACATATTTGCCCGCATGCGTGTTTCAGACACAAAGGAAGAATAAGAAAAAGAAAAGAAATATTTTTCTTTCATTTGCCATTCACAGGAGAGGTGTTTAAGCTAAACTAACATAATTCTGCAGTCTTGCCATTCATAGGATTAAACACAGTTTTGAGAATTCTTCTTATCCGCTTTTAATTTCTAATGTGTTTCTCTGCACCACCCAAACAGCTACTTAAATCATCAAACAAGCAGTTATTGAACAAACAGCTCTCTTGGGCTTGTTTTTTTCTCCTTCTCTCCTTTTTCAAGCTGCCTTGATTCTTTTCAAGAGTAACTGCTAATTCTGTGATAAACAAACAAAGTATGGCTGACATGAAATACACTCAACCCTCATTTGTGCGAAAAAATAAAAACACACGGGGCACTCGGATTTGCGGTGCGGCCCTCACGGCTCGTTTTATCAGCTCTGCCACATCGAGTAATGGTCCGATAGACATCAGACATTGCTTCTGAAATGGATGCCTCATGTAATGGAGCCTGAACACTTGGAAACAAGAAGAGTTATGGTGCTGAGGGACACCATTAGTGGAGAAAAATGAAAGCTGTCTTGTTTGTTCCGAACAAGTAAATCACGGCTGCCCTCGGAAACATTAACAGGCGATCAGTCAGGGTTTATTTTGCAAAGCTCACGCCTTGGAAAGCCATAAAGAAGAAGGGCGTAAGGGTTTTACATTGAGACAAATATTCTAAGGATTTTATTTAGTACAAAGGAAAAAATTTAGTAATTACCACTGTGAGCTGCTGTAAAAGGATTCCCACATAGGAGGAATGAATATGGGAATGAATGGAATTTGAATTCAGTGTTCTTCAGGATAACAATGGAAAAATATGAAATTACAATTTAATATTTTCATTCGTATACGTGAATTTCTGGAATTCACCTTTTACTTAATTCTTCCTCATGTCCTTCCTTCCCTAGACTGTCTCTTCCTTCCTTCCTTCCTTCCTTCCTTCCTTCCTTCCTTCCTTCCTTCCTTCCTTCCTTCCTTCCTTCCTTCCTTCCTTCCTTCCTTCCTTCCTTCCTTCCTTCCTTCCTTCCTTCCTTCCTTCCTTCCTTCCTTCCTTCCTTCCTTCCTTCCTCTGCTGCATTATCTGCCATTGTTCTACATTGAACTCTGGGCGGTAACGTGCAGGAATCCAAACAAAACCAAAGTCTTCAGCATTATAACCCAACTGCAGCCAAAATGCATCTTCCTTCATAGAATCCAGCCGCCTATATTTGGTGAGGATGGGAATTCATCAGTTCCTGACCCCATCAAGATATGCAAGCATCTCCTAGGATAGTTAGGAAAAAAAATCCACCACAGATAACCACACAGAAAGCCAGGGTTTAGATGCCTTATCTTTTCTAAAAACAACAGATGCTGCCGGATCTCTAAGAGTAATAACCTACAACATCTTCTTTTTTTATTCCTGAATGTAATAATTAGGAGGAGATGAGAACAGTCTCAGTGAGACCGACTGTTGGGAGTGCAGGAAGGCACTCAGTGTGACAGGAAGAAAGAGGGGTGGTTTTGGGAAATGTTGAAAAGAAAGATGAGAGGTGATAAAACAAGGAGGTGCAATGGGGGGCAAAGGATTTTATTGATGATGTCAGCCATTCCTCTCCTGATATAGATATGAGACATTATCTAACACCATTTTCCACTCTACTTAAAAAACAGTAATAACTGGGCTTATGTAAACCTGGCAAAGGAAGGTTATTAGCCCTTATTAGCGAATTAAACTGCAAACACTTTCAGGTGTTCAAATTTCACTCTATTCTAAGCTTTAAAATTCCCTATTTTCAATGCAAAAGTGTCTAAATGTGTTTATTTTCATCAGCCTTGTGATTCCTTTATGATTGCAAGCAAAGAGCATGTTTTTTAGATACAAATAAAATAGTAAAAATACATTTTATAAATTGAAATGTAGAAAATAGTTATCTAGAAATAATGTATGGAGTGAACTTTGTTCCATTTTTGTTGCAAACAATGAACACATTTTTTAAAATGAAAAAAAAAAAAAACCCAACAGTTTGTCAATGGCAATTCAGATTTTGTCTTTTTAAATCTTTTTCAAAATATTTTTAATTTTCTTTTAAAGATTACATATTTTCTGTTCTTTTTAAAAAAAATCCCATTCCTAGAAATTAAGGGACATTGTACCTCGGTGTCGTGAGGCCTTGTTTTACATCTTAGTATTTCACATCAATAGACTCTGTTGGTGGAGCAAAGAGAGCTGAACTAAGTAGTTTTGCGCATATGATTAAATGCAATCACATTGAAATGTGTTAGTGAGACAGATAATCAACAAGTCATGTCAAAGCTGAGCAATAATGCTAATTTAGCCTCAAGCTTTAAACATGGTAAATCTTCTTGAAATCATGACATATACACTGAAAATCATCATTTGAAATCTCCATTGGAAAGACAATTCCCTTTGAGAAAAAGCAGCTATGGAAAACTAGAACTTCATCCGGATGCTCAGTTAATGCCTGAGTTCAATCATTTTTTTTTATGTTCTGGAGTAAAAGCATTATGTCTTTTTGAAGCAATTTGGAGTTAAGGCACTGATAAAACATTTAGAGGAAAATTGGTGGACAACTTAAGTATACCTTTCCAATTTTAACAAGAAATGGCAAAAACAATTTTGCCGTTGTTGGAAGAAAAGAGAAAATGACTTTGACACAGTTCACAAGAAGATGATTACAAAAAAGAGATTCGGAAGAGGCGGAAATAGACTGAAGACAATCTTTCTTTTCATTATTCTAACTCTGAATATTATTAGGAAAGGCCTCAAATATTTAAAGAACTTCATCAAAAGAACACCGAAATGGTCTGACTAAAATTAGTTGGTAAAAGTTCCCTTAATCCAAGACAATGTGACTTAGATCTTAGCCATACTGCGAACTCAGTGTGAGGTTAATGATAAGGAGGTCAGGCGGTGCTTAAAGCCTCCTTGTTGTTTGCACACACCTACTGCACACTCTCTTGATGTGAATAAATCATTCGGCCCAAGAGAGGGAAAGCCTGTTCTTGTTCCATCTGTGCAGCCTTAGGGTCACATCTTCTATTTATTCCCACTTCAAACCCCCAGATTTGCCCTGCTGGTCAGTTCTTCACAGCAACTTTACAGACAACTGTGATTAATATTTCAATCTCAAGGCGACTGTAACTGTAACTGTGTTTCTATCTGGTCTTCTTGTATATTGATGTAGGGCAAGTTCAGTTCATGGACACGTGTGTCATAATAATCCAGAGTTATTAATCATGTATTTCAAAAGTTCAAATTTATCAAGTTTTTATATTTAGTTCATCCTTAAAGGCTGCCAGTCATGTATTATGACTAAGTTATGTTGCCTTGTTGGCTTATTAAACATTATCTCTGTATTTTACTCAGCTCCTTAGGAAAACGTAAATGTACAGTAAAGCACATGATCACCATATGTAAACAAATAAAGTATGATTGGAAAAAAGATAATCCATAGATCAAGCATGTGAAAGCAGAAAAAACATCTGATACTAAGAGGAATAAGACACCAGTAAAGTTGATAAACATCCATCCATCTTTTACCACCTTCATCCGTCAGGGTCACAAAGGCATGGAGCTTTTCCCCAGCAGTCTATTGGCCAAAGGCAGGGTACACCCTGGACAGGTTTATTCTTTCTTTATTTCACACAAACTCATGACTACAGATGGCACAGTGTAGATATAAATGTCAAAAATGACAGATCATAAATGTACTATAACAATAGTGTGCCAGTGAGGGGTAGAATTTTTAAATCCTAAATACAAAAAAATAAAAAAGATAAGAGACACAAATTCCCAATCCAAAATGTATGTCAGTCAACCATAATCAGGGAAAATATACACATATTCATTCACACAAAAACTCATCTAGGTGTTGTTATTGTTAGTTATAACGGTCGTGTGCCTCTGATGCTTTTACACTCTTATTTTCCAGAGAAGACAAGATAATTTTCTCATTATCTAAACGAGATTATTGGTTTGTGTTAAAACCAATTACTAGTGTTGTGCCAATGCCATTTTTTGGCCCTGATACTGATACCCAATACCTGGCTGTGGAGTATCGGCCGATACCATACCAATACCATCTGTTTTAAATTGATGTTTGTGTGTATATATGAAGAACTGCATACTACCTAGATGTACAATAATTGCCATCATGGCTTTGTCAAGTTGCTGCCTACCTTTGTGAAGCAGGAAAAAATCTAATACAAAGTGAATCCAGTAGAACTTTTTATTGCCTACCTGGAATGGGTGACAATAGTTGAATACACTTTTGGCTCTCAAAATGGTATCGGTACCCTATTTGTTGGTACTCACCGATACCGATACCACCATTTTAGTGCTGGATCGTGGCCCTGCCCGATACTGGTATTGGTGCAACACTATTGATTACATCCTTTAATACCACAACAGTGGGAGAAGATTTAGAGGTATAAGTCATGGCAGCCTTTCTATAACATAAAATAAATCTACATTTTATGTGTAATTTAGAAAATAATCCTGAATTTAAGTTTTAGGTAACGAGACGACTGTAACAGGTATAAGATGCAATAACCCCCAAATAAGTCCAGTTAAAGACTTTAATTTAAAAAACAGTCAGATCTGTTTTCTACTGTATTTCATCCAATCCAATCATCCACCATGACCTGACAATGAGTAAAAAAAGAAAAAGGAAACTAAAAAACTGATCATTAGGGCCACGGCTGCATAACTATGGGCCCCGCAGGCATGGATGGACTGGGAATCCAGGGCTGTTGGCCAGCCTCATTCATTACTGATACAGGTCAATAATCTCGATATCTCAAGAAATCAATACTGTTTTCTCATGATAACGACGTAATTATCTTGTTATATTGAGAAAACA